CTTTCAGTGGCGTCTTCTCTGGATGGTGTTTACAACAGGCACTGCTCAGTATCATCTAATGACAATTCATTATTCAAGTAGAAGTTTGAGACATGCTGTAAAACGAGACCCTGAAGTTCACCTAAGTTGGCTCTTGCTTGCCTCACCAAAAAGCTTTGCCCAGTGATTCTTCTGAAATAGCTCTGGGCAAGCCAGTGTCCCTCATTCATTGTGCAGGTATGCTGCCTCCTTTAACTGCCAGCTTTGTTCTGCACTGGGGATAGGAACAGGGTTTGTCCTGTTCTGAGCTCTGGTTGTGTTGTCCTTTCTTGCAGAGAAAATCAGTGCCTTGTTGGCTGTACCCATTGCTCAGGCCCTGGTTTCTCCTTGGCACTGTGTGTCAGCAGGTTAATAGGTTCATCTCTGCACTGGCCAGGCTGGCCAGGTGACTGTGTCTGTGTGGACGTGCTGTTTTTGCTTTTGCTGCAGCTGTTTTTGCAAGGCCTCTGCCTCATTTGCATTTTTCTGTTTAAAAACAGTGATTTTTCCCTTTTGAGTCATCTTTATTTTTGAGACATCATTAATTTTCTCTCCCTCCTTGTTTATTAATAGACCTTTTCACTTTTGTGCTGATTCTGCCTGGTTATATTTGTAAAGTCCTTTGTATTCCCCTTAGCATTCTGGCTGTTAACTCCTTCTGCTGGTTTGTTGTCCCTTCCCTCTCCCATGCCCCCCTGCAGCTGTGAGGGGACACTATTGACTTTCAAATCATCTTCCTGTCTGGAATGTTCCCCTTCTCTTCTTCCAGGTATCTCCTAAGAGCATCTATTCCAGGTGTCTCCTAAGAGTATTGCAAGTGAAAGGCACGATTGAAATCTCAGTGCCTTTGATGCTTTTGCCACCTCCTCACACAGCCAGTGTTGTGTTGCTGCTGGAGAGCTCTTTCTCCTGGCAGCAGGGGACAGGACGCCTTAAAAAGCCACAGATGCAGCTCTTTGCTCCTTGAATGCTTTGCTTTGCCCTGTGCCAGTGGCTGTGTTTATGCCTTTGCTCTGTCTCCACCAGGTATCCAGGTCCTTTCCTGGCCCTGTTGCTGCTGTTGAGCCAGGTGGCCTGGGCTGGAGCTCTGCTGGGAGCAGGAGAGGTGCAGGGCCACCAAAACCTCTGACAGTCCTTGCCCGGGCTGCCAGGGGCTGGTTGTGCAGTTGGTAAGTGTGCCATGGCACGTGCCTGGCATGGGATGAGTCCTGCAAGTGTGAGGTTCCCCAGTGGAGCTGTTTAGAATCTCCTTGTACCTGCCTTTTTATTAATCTTGTTATTGTAGTTATTTTTTTCCCCTTCAAAGAGCCCAATCTGCTGCAGGCTGTAAAGAGTGACATTGTGGTGTGCGAGCTGCATGCCAAGGCTGCGTGAGGCCCCCCAAGGCTCCTGGTCCCCCACTGTTGCCATCCCTGTTCACTGCCAAGGCTTTAAGGTTATCTGCTCTATCGATGGGAATATGGATTGGGTGGAATTAGAAACCTCGAAGGCTAAAAATACAGCTGCCTGCCAGGAAATGCAGCAGCCTGCTGAGAGGGTGCTGTGTGGCACTGGGACTTCTCCAGGAGCTGCCATGTTTCACATGAGCACCACGTCCCTGCCTGTTCCCAGGCTCCCTGAGCAGGACTGTGGCTGGCTTGCTCTTGTTTGTGGGGTCCTTCCCTCGACAGGACAGGGGGAGAAGTCAGGGAGAAGACGCTGCCCTGTGTGCTGCAGATGTTCGATAGAGGAGAAGCACAGGCTGGCACCTGAGCGGGCAGCTCGCTGAGGCCTCACCAATGCATACCATGAGCACAGGCTCCCTGTGAGCAGATTGTTGTGTTCCTGGGAGCAGTGTGAGAGGAGCCTGTGCCTTCAGGGAGCTCTGGCTGCCTCCTGGCTGATGATCCAGCACCCTCCTGGCCATGCTAGGCTGTGTTCTGCTGGGCTGGTGGGCTTTACGTGGCAGACAGCTGGGCAGCACTCCCATTACCGCTTTTGCCATGGTGTCATGGCCTTTCCCTGCTTGGTGCCAGAGTGCTGGTTTGTTTTGCTAGGCAGGTCCATGAAACAAGACAGCATCTGGGGCAGCACAGGCCTTTTTGGGGATGCGCTGCTCATTGCTGCCTGTCTTTGTGGGGCAGGCTTGGTCCCAGACTCTGGAAGTGGTAGGGTTGCCCTGCCTAGTGTAGTGTGAATGAGACCCAAAGCCAGGGCCATTGCTCTGCCTCCCAGAGCATGAAATTAGTTGGTGCTGACCCGTGGCTGTGGCATTGATGAAGTGTTTGATAGGCTGGGGGCAGGGGCTGTGCTGCCCTGTGGGGAAAAAACAAAGCTCTGCAGCATCTCTGCCAGTGTGGGTCATCTACAGCCCTGCCGTGCCTCTTCCCAGGCTGCAGGAAGCAGCTCTTCCCCAGCAGTGTGTGGCAGGCAGAGGCAAAGCTGTGCAGGGAGAGGATGCTCCCAGCACCAGCCGTCTGGCTAATGCTGCACCATCTGCTTTGGAGGGTGAGGCAAGGTGAATGGCAGGTTTTTGAGGAGCCCATAAATCCTGTGTGCAAAGGCTCTTGGAGGTGACATGGGATCTGCATGGAGCAATGCTGCTTCTGGTTGCTCCCCGTGCTGGAAATTGTCAGGAAGGAGAGCCTGGGGAGATCACTGATCCCCACAAGACCTTCAGCAATGAGCCATGGCCTGGGACTCTTGGGCTTGGCTGGGAAGAGTCCTTCAGCAGAACATGCTTCAGTGCAGTTGGAAGCTATCTGTGGTTGGAAATGGTGGTGCCAGGGGGGCTTCCAGTGCCCCCTCCTCTTTGGCACTCAGGCTGCCACTTGGTGAGAAAATGTATAATGCCTCAGTTTTGAAAAATGACTAATCCAGTCCTTGGAAGGTTTGTAGGATACATTCCTTTCTTGTGGTCGATAAAGATAAAGGGGATCGTTCTGCCAGCAAAATTAGTGTATCAAAGAGGGGGGGGGAAATGACAAGAGCTACGGAGACAGAAAAATGGTTGGGGCAGCCCTGGGATGGTGCTCAGCATCACCACAGCACCTGTTCCTGCACCTCCTGTTCCTGCCCACCTTTGCGGCATGAGGTGCAGGCACAGGCACTGCGGTCGTGCTGGGGGTAGTGCCCTGCTGGGCTTTTCCAGTGGTTTCCAGAGAGCCAGAGAGACTCATCCGTCATGCCAAGGCAAAGGTCTGTCCATCCATCACAGAGGGGATGATGCTGTGTGGCGCGGGCAGCCCCAGCCACTTTGCAGCCGTGGTTGGCCTCCCCTCGCCTTGCTGGCACCAGGGCTGCTGTTGGTGCGGGGCCACGGGGAGCGTTCGCGCCTCGGTCAGGGGCTGTGTGCAGGGGAGCCTAATGCACCGGAGGTGCCTCGGAAATGAGAGCCTTGGATGGGTTCCTGGCCCTATTGATCTGCCGGCAGTTTATGCATCCTGACATTCATAATCTCGGTCGGCGCTGATGGTCCAGATTAATGGGCCCAGGGGCTGTCCATCCGTCACTTCACATTAATTACTGAAGAGGTGTTTTTCCAGTGATTTACCTGACAGCGGCCTGTGATGAATCCCCCTAAACGGAGTGGGCAGTGATTAATCATGGGGCCCCAGCCCAGCCCCACTCTGCCTTCCCCTCAACCACAGTGCAGCCCCCCGCACCATCCGTCTCCATAAACCCTGTCTGATGCATATTTATGGGGCAGGGGGGCCTGGCCGCTTGTGGTGTGCCTGCTTCTGCCAAAGATGATGAAAAATAAATCTCTGTTGGGATGGGGCAGCAGGTGAGCAGGGCTGCATCATGCCATGGTCCTGTGCCAGGGTATCCCTGTGCCGGGGTTTGCTTTCTGTTGTTCTGTGGCTGCCTCAGGCTTCTCTGTGGTTTTTCATGGCTGAGTAGTGCGTGGTCTCGGTATTCTGCTTCAGGTCCCTTGGGCTCAAGGGCCCCAGGTAGCAGCTGCCAGAGTGGGGCCGGCACCCCAGTGGATCTGTCAGGATTTCGCTGCTTCCTCCAAGCCAAAGGCTGTAGGGCTGTGGGGTGCTCCGGGCCCCAAACCCTGTCTGCAGATACGCTGCTCTGGGGCTGTGTTGGGGCTGCACAATCGATCACTGTGTGCCGGTTGCTGGGGGAGCAGGGTGGACGCTGGGACTCCGACCCAGTGACCTGGGCAGGGCTCCCCCCGTGCTCTCAGCCCGGGGCTGCTGGGCCGCGGGCAGGACAGTGACGCTGTTCTCTCTTGCAGGCACGGTGGCACCATGCAGCAGGAGGCCGAGGGCGGCCGGGCGCGCCGCAGGAAGCCCGACATGGCGCTCTACGTGCCCAAAGCGCGGCGGGAGCGAGAGGCGCGAGTGGCAGGGGACGTGCGGGGGGCCGGGCACCGCCGCGAGCCCCAGAACCACCGGCTGCTGCAGGACCCGGCCGGCGGCGAGGGGCAGAGGCCGAGCCCCCGAGCCAGGACACAGGCAGGCAGGGCGGCGAGGAAGGAGAACAAGGTGGATGCCGGCCCAAAGGAGCTGCGGGCAGCCTCTGCCAGGCACAGCCATAGGACGAGAGGCAGCTGCCCTGTTGCACTGGAAAGCCTGGAGGCATCGCCCAGCGCGTGTGAGCCATGCCCAGATCCAGCTGTTGCTCAGCACAGGGACAGGCAGGACAAAGCATCTCACGAAGAACCTGCAGAGCTCAGCCACAACCACAGGGTGATAAGGACTGAGCCTGACCCTCCATCCACACAGAATGCCCAGGCTGGGGCTGTGAAGGCTCCCCCTGAGCCTGGGGATGACCCCGCTAGCCCAACACCCGCTGCTAGCCCAACACTGGTTTGTCAGACAGGCCTGAGTGGCATGTTGGAGCACTTGGGGGACAGCACCCTAGATCCAGCTGAGGACCTCTCCCAAAGCCTGGGAGAGGCTGTCCTGCAGTCAGCAGGGGTGGGCAACCATAGCAGGGTGCCTCAGTTGGTGGGGGAGACAGTGGGTCTGAAAACCTGTGAGGAGGAGAGGCAGGAGGAGAGGGATGAGCAGAGGTCTCTCCTGGCAGAGCAGAGTGAGGGTTCTGCCACTGGGGTGCCAGAGGCAGAGGAGACGTGGGGAGGCAGAGCTGAGGTTCCTGGAGAGAGCACCCTGTATGCACCAGGAGCCAGCTGTGAGCCTGTGTTCCTGGGGGGCAGCATGGGCGATGTTCCTGTGCTCCCAGGGGGGAGCACCCCACAGCAGGGCATGGGCAGTCCATCCCAGCCTGCCATGGAGGAGAGCACTGCTGGGGCTGGGGATCCCAGAGGGGAGGGTGACCGGGTGCCTGCTGTAGTGGAAGCAGGCAGCACTTGTGCCTGCACAGATAGCAGTGCTGGATCTGAGAGCAGCCCGTGGGAGGGAGCACCTCTGGAAAGCTGTGAGCCCCCAGTGCCCCTAGAGCAGCTGTGCCATGGCATGGAGGGGATCTCACCTGCATCCTGGGCCAAGGAGCTGGCAAACCCAGATGAGGATGTGGGCTCGCTGCAGAAGCACCAGGAGGCTGAGAAAGAAGAGAGAGGTCTCCACAGCAGCTCCCCTACGGAAGGACAGAGCAGTGCCAGTGCTGGAACCCTGAGCCAGACCAGTGCAGGTGCTGAGGAGAGCTGGGATGTGCTGTTCAACGATGATGGGGACTGCCTGGACCCACGCCTGCTGGAGGAGGTACTCCCTGCTAGCCAGGGTTTGTGGGGGTTGGCAGGGTCAGTGGCTGGTGCCCGCTGGGATGAGGGGGATGTTTTCTTGTGTTCTCTGGGGTGAGTGCATGGGGTGGGTGGGCTGCACCCAGGGCATGGCCAGCCTGGCTGGCTGTGCTGCCTGCTCTTAGAGCCAGCCTTCCCCTGTGCTCCCAAAACACCTGGGATCTCCATCTGTCCCATCCCATCCGGCATTGCTGGGGAAGGTTGGGGTGATTGCCCCTCTGTAGTACATAAAGTGTGCCCAGTAAAACCTGCTGAAGTGCTGTAAACTGCAACTGCACCCTCATGAGACCAGGGCTGGTGATAAAGAAACGGGCTGAGATGTATGGGATCCCATTGAAACAGCAACAGGATGTTTCCTTGAAACTATGGCTTCTTAATCAGCTGTGGCTCATTGCCATTCCCTCCTGCACACATGCTGCTGAATTTACTACACTTGGCTGCTTGGTGCCAGGACCCACAACATTCACAAGGAAAGCTCAGTTCCTGCAGCAAGGCTGGATATCCCTTATTGCATTTTAAATCAGTAGTGTCAAACTGGTAATTTTCCTGAAGAAACAAACAACATTGATATTGTTATATCCAGTGTCTGCCTATCCGTGGCTGGAAGCAGGGTGTGAGGTGATGGGTGGTGCTTTGATAACAGCATCTATGAAGGGATCAGGTTAACTCAAGAGCACCTTACTGAGGGGCACACATCCCACCTTGTCTGCAAGGCCTTGCTTGGGCTGACGTGTCCTCTTGGAGCCTGGCACAGTGCTGAGACAGTGGGACACAGAGGGCTTGCATTTGGGGGATGTGGAAGGGCATGGGGTATTCCCATCCTTGCGTGGCTGTGCTCCCCTGAGTCACTGTCCCTCGCCCTCCAGACTGGAGATTGTGGTGAGTGCTGGTGTGAGGAGGACAGCACTGATGTTCTGAGACAGCTGGTGCAGGTGGCACTGGCTTTCTGTGGGCTGGTGCCATGGGCATGGCTTTGTCCTCAAGGGAGGAAGATCAGGGAAAGTGCAGCCATAGGATGCTGTAGGCAAGGCTGTGCTGTGCTGTGCAGTACAGGCTCTCACTCCAAGCACTATCTGTATTGGCTCCCCTATGCACAAGCTCTGAGACAAGTTTGAGCTTTCCAGGGAGCTTCCCAAAATGGGTGAGAAAGAACCTGAAATAGGGATTTATCAAAAGTTGCCATCTTTGTCCCCTGCAGATTCATGGCACCTCATGCTTCCTGAGCCCTCCTGAGCCCTCCGAGCTCCCAGCAGGTGGATGTAGCTGCCTGGGGAGGGCACAGGCTCTTGGGAGGATGGAGCTGTTGTTAATTAAAATAAAGAACAAGAAAATCAGTAACGTCTTCCTCGAAACCGAATCCTTATGCAATGCAGAGAGCTGGCAGAGAGCAAGATTTATGACGTTCTGTGCGGAGGAGAGATTTCTGATAGTGAATGGCTCTTTAATCTAGCGGGAAAAAACCACTGTAGTGAGCAGCATTGGCTGGCAGCTGAAACCAGACAAATTCAGAGCAGAAATCAGTTTGAACACAGAGTAATTAAGCACTGTGCCCGTTTCCTTGCGGGCTCTGTGGACTCTCCATCAGGCGGTGCGGCATGGCAGGGGCCGCGATGCGTGCGTGCCCAGGGCTGTGGTGTCAGCCCTCAGCCACAGACCCCCAACCTGCTCTGGCAGGACTGTGTCTTCAGAGGGCAGCGAGATGTGATGGACAGGCATCATTTTCCCTGTCTTCTGTCTGTCCATCCATCAGTACTCATCCATCTGTACCCTCCCTAGGATGCCTGCCAGGGCTGGGGACCGCACTGTGGCTCCCACTGGCTGCCGTGCCCCATGGCTGGGAGCTGCTGGCATGCTGTGTGCTGGGCTGGGCTGGGCAGTGCTGGGCTGGGCTGGGCTGGGCTGTGCTGGGCTGTGCTGGGCAGTGCTGGGCTGGGCTGGGCTGGGCTGGCAGTGCTGGGCTGGCAGTGCTGGGCTGGGCTGGGCTGGGCTGTGCTGGGCTGGCAGTGCTGGGCTGGCAGTGCTGGGCTGGCAGTGCTGGGCAGTGCTGGCAGTGCTGGGCAGTGCTGGCAGTGCTGGGGACCTGTTGAGCCGTGCCTGCCGCGTGGCTGAGCCCTGCTGCCAGACGGCTCCTGTCCTTCCTGCCCCGCCACACTTGGTGATTTGTGAAGGTCAAGGGCTGCTCCGGCACTCTGTGCTCCTGCTCTCTAATCATCTTCCCGCTGCCTGGCACTACCTGAGTGCTCTGCTCCCTCAAGCAGCACTGCAGGGCGTTATCCTGCCTGGAATGGCTCCCTTGCTTCCCCGAGCAGGCGCAGGGTGCCTGATGAGCGTGCTGCCCTGCATGGGGGTGATGGCAGGGCAGGAGGCTCTGCTGGCAGTGCTGGCTCCTCCCGTGAGCTCCATAACTCAGCTCTACCCTCCGCCGGCATCCAGCCGCTATGGCAGCACCCCCTTACCTGCCGTGAATCCATCTTCCCCATAAAATTGTCGCAATGAGCACTTTTTATCGACTGAGCTGGCTGGGATTTATGGACTCTAACCTTGCAGTCGTGGTGTGCTCTGCTATGATCGCTTAGGGGATCGGGGTGGGAACCCATCTGAGTTATATGCCCATTCCTTGGCATCACGCCAGCCCCACGCTCCAGGGGAACAGGAGCTGTCACTGCCTTTGGACTGCACCTGGCCTGGGGTCTCAGCTGAGGCAGGGCAGTGAATCCCCTTGGCCACTGGCACGGCGTGTTTGGAAAGCAAGGGTTCAGCAAGGGATGCGGGGTGGCCCACTGGGCAGAAGAGGGTGCTGGGTGACCAGCTGGCACTGGCAGTGCTGTGGGACAGAGGGAAACAGGGGCTGGATGCACCCTTGTGCTGTGGCAGCAGGAGGCTGCTGCCTGTGTTTTTAAATGAAGGCTGTAAAATGTGCATGGTAGAAAAGCTCTACAGCCATCATCTTTTAGGGCTGGAGAAAGTGCCCCGCTGTGAGGTACTAAAGGTGCACAACCCATTTTTTCAATAAGAAGATTGAGAAGGGACTTGATTAACATTAGTAAGGGCTGTGATGGGGAGGACACCAGGGACTGAGGGTTCTTTAATCCGGCAGAGAGGCAGAACAAGAACTGCCAGCTGGAAAGTGAAGTCAGACAAATTCAAATGAGAAATAAAACATAGATTTCTAGGTGCACAGGTGATTAACCAGCAGAACTTGCTCCTCAGTGGAGCACTGTCTTTTTCATCTTGGCATCTGGGCTGCTGATAGGCTGCTCCGGTGCATGTGCTGCAGCCAGGGCGTGCTGAGCCTGGTGCTTCCATGTAGCAGAGAGACATCAATCTTTCCTCCTGGCGTTACTATCCTGCTCCTTGTTCTTCCCCTAAGGTATTTCAGGTCATCACATCCCTGTGGAAGGGGGGTGTGTTTGGAGATGCATGTGCTGTTTCATCCCTGCCATTCCTACCATGTCCCTGACCTGGCTGCCGAGTGTGGCAAGTGAAGGGATGCTGGTAATGGGAAAAGCAAGTACGTGGTTGGTAACTCCTAATTCTCAAAGCCATGAATCCATCTGCAGTGCTGGAGTGGGTGCAGGGGTCTGGACAACTTTCTGGGGAGAACTTGCCATGGGTTAGGAACTGCTGTGAGGCAGGTGGGCATGGGTTGCTCAGTGCTGTGCCTCTCCTGCTGCTGCAGCTCTCAGGGGGTGAGAAGCACCAGGAGAGCCAGCAGTCACCCCGCTTCAACTACTATCGGGCGGAACCTGCTGCTCCAGACATCAGCGACGATGAGCTGCCCCACGTCATCGAGATCTACGACTTCCCCGCGGATTTCCGCACCGAGGATCTCATGCGTGTCTTCTGCAGCTATCAGTGAGTCTGCCAGCTCCATGTCCCAGGTGCTGGGCTTCCCTGCCTGGGCTCTGCTCCACATGGCTGCCCATCAGGTGCCCGTGCCTCGCTGACCTTCCCTCTCTTTGGCAGGAAAAAAGGCTTTGATATTAAATGGGTGGATGATACGCACGCCCTGGGCATCTTCTCCAGCCCCATAACAGGTACTGCTCCTGGTTCAGCTGGGGATGGGCAGAGAGGAGGCATCCCTCTCCCACAGCCAGATGCTGGACGTGGGGCTGCCCCTGCACGTGGACATGCCGCTCTCTTCCTGCAGCGCGCGATGCCCTCAGCACCAAGCACCTGATGGTGAAGACGCGCCCACTGTCCCAGGGCACCCGCGCCTCTAAAGCCAAAGCCAGGGCATTTGCTGGTGAGTGGTGCTGCCCTGTGCCAGCTTGTGCCATCCTGCTTGTGCTGCAACATCATCCTGATAACTGGGGAGGGTTGGGGCAGCCAGCACGGCTCCACAGCTGCCCTGTCCCCTGCAGAATGCCCCACTAATGTCCCCCATCTTCACAGAGTACCTGCAGCCAGCCAAGGAGCGCCCTGAAACATCAGCTGTCCTGGCCCGGCGGCTGGTGATTGGTGCCCTGGGGGTACGGAGCAAGCAGACACCAGCCCAGCGAGATGCAGAGCGGAGGAAGCTGCAAGAGGCTCAAGGTGAGTTTGGAGGGTCTGCAGTATAGGGGGGCTCTGTCTCACAGGGTGCTGGGTGAGAGGGGGCTGCAGCAGGGTGGGCTCCGGCCGCTTCCACAGGGAGGTGGGGTGGCAGGGGTGTGGCATTGACCCCCTTGTCTCTGCAGAGAGGAAGCGCCTGGAGAACAAGCAGCGGGAGGATGCCTGGGAGGGCCGGGACTGAGCCAGGAGGCTGCACTTTGAGCCCATGTCCCTCTCTGCAGGCGGGCAGAGCACTCTGCGTCTCAGAGCTGGGACACGTTCTGCACTGTGTCCAAAAGCACTGGGCTGCTTCACCGAGAGGGCTGAGCAGCGTGAGGGCTGGTTGGTACTGTGGGGATGCTGTTGCTGTCAGGCAGCACTGCCCACTCTGCCCAGGGCAGAACCCCCAAGGCTGCCAGCCACAGCAGGAGCAGCAGCAGGATGCAGGGAGCTCAGCAGAGAGCATGGGGGGCTGTGTGGGGTGGCCCTGGCCACCTGGAAGGGCCTTGTGAGTGAGAGTTTCTGTCCTTTATTTTGCTAATAAATGCCATTTATTTTATTTGCTTGCCTGGGTGGTGGCTCCCCGTTCCCTTCATACCGGGGCAGGGTGTGCGTGCCGGGGGCAGCTGCGCATGGTCCGCGGGCTGTGGGGATGTCCACCCCTCCCAGGTGCTGCTGGGTGTCCCCTGCGGCTGTGGGGGATGTGCAGGCAGGAGGGGTCGGGCAGGACGGCAGGCAGGAATGTGCTGGCAGCAGCCCTGTTTACTTCCGCGGAGCAGCTGCAGCCCTGAACAGCGGGGCCCTTGTCAGAGCATGGGCAGGGCCGTGTTCCCGGCCCCACATGGGGCTCTGATGTGGCCGTGCTGCCAGCCATGGCGGGCTGGGGGCTTCCTGCCCTGCCCCCGGGTGGAGGCTGGCACCTGGGACCTGCCTTTGGCTCTGCTCTGCATCATCTCTCAGCGCCTGAAAAACTGCTCTGTGTGCCCCAGCACTCCCACCCTGTAGCTCTGCAGACTCTGAGGTTTTGGGGCCTTTCACGGGAGGTGAGGATTGGGATGATGCTTCTCTACCACCACTACCAGCAGTTTGCATGCTTTCGGTCGCTGAAGTGCTCGTGTGGCTGCCCCGTGTCCCCTGGCTGTCCCCCAGCTTGGCAGCAGCGGGGCTGGTCATGACCCCGTGGCGGTGGCTGCCTGCCCCTGCGCCATCCGGCGGCGCTGCCAGCTGGGAGCCATCTCGGCTGCCGTTGCCGGATGCTCGTGGCTTGGCCGGTGGAAATTCCAGGGAGCAGAGCTGCTCTCATGTGGAAAACATCTTCCCGGCCATGCGGCATCCCTCAAAGCCCCAGCCTGGCCGGGTGAGCCTCCACCAGCACGTGCCTTGCCACGGTCTCTGGCCTCGGGCCCCTCCAGTGCATCCCCGTGCTCCCAGCAGCAGCTCCACGTGCAGGGACCATCACGTGGGGGTGCAGCCTGACTTGTCCTGGGCCAAGGTGGGTGCTGGCAGCCCCCCACCCTGGGCTGGTGCCTGCCAGCGAGGCAGGAATGGACACAGGTATGCACAGAGAGGGGCGGCACTGCCCCGTGGCTGGCGAGCTGGGGAACAGACAGTACAGAGTGTGTTGGTGACATTCCCTTTTATTTCCTGTTGTAAGAAAAAAGATAGAAACCACGGGAGGTAAGAAACAGAGAGCAAGGGCACAGTGTTCCCTGTGTCCCCACACTGTGTCTTTGAGGGACAGAGTGGCCCTACCACAGCTCCCATGTGTGGGAAGCTGCCAGGACAGCCTGGGAAAGCCCAGCATGTCAGCTGCATACACTGTGGCTGCTGGGCTGGCTGCCAGCCCATGCTGCCACAGAGCTGGCTGGGTCTTTGCATGCACAGGGTTAGCCAGTTCAGGGCCATAGGGACCACTGATGGCAAGCCAGAGCTGCTTGATGCCAGCCACGTGCAGACAGCCAGGGAGTTGGTGGCCCTAGGTAGCACAGAGGGAACACTGCCTAGCTGGGGACACATTGCCTAGACCAAGTTGTTCCCAGCTGGGGACTGGCTTCATGAGCCTAATAGGAAAGAGTGCAGGGGAAGGAGGAGGTGATGGTGGGATTGATAAAGGAGTGGCCTCTCTTCCACAGCACAGCACCCTGCTCCCAACTCACAAAACCTTTATTGAAGACAGGACTGGTGCATGGGTGGCTGGGGACTGTCCTGAGTCTCCTGGAGCATGGGGGGCTGGGCAGGCTGAGGTAGTTGTCCTGGGGGCCCTGGGGCTGTGGAGGTGAGGCCTGCTGCAGTACTGGGGCCACTCTTTCCAATCCTGCTGGCAGCATGGGCACCCCCAGGCACTCCCCGCCAGCCCTGGCGCTCATCTCCCTCCTCTGCAGCAGCATCAATAAATACAAGTCTGCAAGTCCCTGAGCTCAGTCGGGTGCTGCCAGGGCACAGGGGCCGGGGTGCAGGAGTCAGACTCTCCCGTGGGACCACACCAATGGCAGGGGTTCACACAAGGTTGTTGGCCAGGCGCTCCCGTCTCTCCATGTCGCTCACCACGTCGGCACCGTAGGCATCACCTGGGGAGAGCCATGTTGTGGGGTAGGTGTGCGTGTGGGGGCACAAGGAACCTGTGGCACCCCCAACCTCATCACTTCCCTCACCCTGCCTGCCATAGCCCCCAAGCTCTTGTCCCTCCTTACTTGTGTGGCAGCCGTGCATCCAGACACGCTGCCCATCATACTTGCACTGGCACCTCATCACGTTGTTGGAGAAGTCCGACTCAGCCACCTCGTGCTTGGGGTTCACAACCACCTGGGGAGGGCAAGGGCCAGGGCTGGGAGCACCTCTGCTGTGCCCTGGCCAGGCAGGGCTGTGGCATGCACAGCAGGGTACAGAGCAGCAGCACCCTGATGTGCAGGGTGAGGGATGCTGTTGTGCTCATGGAGGGGACTCCCCAGCCCTGAGATCTGGTAGCTTGGTGTCCCCCACCCCTCCATGCCATACCTGGAAGGTGTAGCTGCCTGGTGGCACATCGGTGATGTCGATCCACTGGCAGTCGATGTCATGGCGGTAGGTGTCCCAGCACCCCACACTCACCCCCTGCTCACCAAAGTTGGCACAGGCAAAGCGTCGCTGAAGACCTGCAGCGAGGAGGGAGGTGAGGGAGGCACAGACAGAGCCTCTTTGGGGAGCAGAACTGGGCCTCTGTCAGCTCTGCAGCTGGCACCTACCTTCGGGGCAGTTGGTGTCTTCCAGGCAAAAGCTGGCCTTGTGTCCCTCGGCCACCTTGGAGCCATTGAGCGTCAGCAGGTCATAGTGGGTAAAGACCTCTATGCTGTGGAAGTGTCTGTGGGGACAGGGGCTCAGCACAGGACCAGTGCCCGGCCAGGGAGCACGTGGCTGTCCCAGGCAACCCTGGCAGAACTTCCGGCAGGGCAGCACCCAGGACTCAGCAAATTACAGCCCTGAAGCCAAATAAAGCCGTAATGACAGTGCTGGCTCAGACGCTGTCAATTACCCTGGGTGGGACGGGTGCCACCATGCCCTGCCTGGCCCAAGGACAGGGCAGCTCCCTGCCAGCCCCTGCCTATGGGACACTCACCGGTGGCACTGGTGCCAAGTCCAGGCATGACGCCCCATCCTCGGTCGGAAATCGGCTCTTCCCAGGTTGTGGATCTGGGAGGAGAAGCGCAGAAGGCGGCGGTGGCCGTAGGGCCATTGCATGTTGTCAGCAGAGCGAGAGAGGCAGCGCTCCTCATGGGCACAGTACAGCAGCCCCAGGGGTCTGTCCTCCAGGTAGGCTGTCTCCTGCACCAGTTGGGCGTTCATCACCAGGTCTGGGGCGTCTGGCACGGAGGGGATCAGCAGGGATTGAGAAGGTGGTCCCCACCCTGCACAGCACCCCCTACTCTCCTACAGGAGAAGAGGGGTGCCCTCTCCCAGCAGTACCCCCTGGGCTCCTGATACTCACGGGCAGTGCAGGTGACCCCGGCTGAGAAGCGTCCCCCGCCGCTGGGGCAGTGGACAGGGCCGTGGCGCTGGCACTGCTGGAGGGCCAGCTCGGTGCCCGCACAGCGCACGCCGCTCATCACAACCTGGCTGGCACCGGGGCTGCCTGCCCAGTACCACGTCTCCTGCACAGAGGAGGAGCACAGTGCTTGGACCAGTCCTTGCAGCCCTTGCCAACTCCCACCTGCCTCCCCTGCCTCCCCTCCTGCCCTAACACTGCCACCACCGTCCCCACAGTCCCATCCCAGAGCCCCTGGCCACACCATGCCCACGCTGTCCATCCTGCAGGACCCCTGCAGTTCTGGCCCCAGGCTGGTACCCCACTCACCTGGAGGGCATGGCTGGCAAAGCCCAGCCCCAGCTGCCTGCAGACCACCATGGCCTCGTTCAGGCCCCACTGTGCCCCACACACTGCACCCCACTGCAGCTGCCCCTGCACTGGCACCAGCACCTCCACCACGCCTTCCTCGGGGTTGCGGCCCCCGGCCAGCCGCACCTGTTGGCAGAGAGGGGCAGAACTGGAACGTGGCACAGATCCCAGCTCTCCCATTCCACACTGCAATGGGACCAACAGCCCTGCACATCCAGCTGAACATCTCCCTTATCTTCCTCCTTTCATCCCTAAAGACCAATTTGCCACCAGATCACCCTGCAGAGCCCCATCAGGACACTGCTCTGTGTCCCTCCATCCCCTGGGTCACTCCAGGGCTGCTCTGAGCAGCCACACTGGGCATAGAGCTTGGGGAGCAGGGACTGTGCAATGAGGCTGGGATCAAACAGGCTCTGGGAAGGAGGCAGGGACTCACCTGGCTCTTGAAGTCCATGAAGGGCATGTGGCAGCGGACAGCAGCGTCGGCCTCGTGCCGACACCCATTCTGCTCAGCGTCCTGGAAGCGACACTCGCCCAGGGAGCGCTCATGGCCAGTGCACTGCACATTGCTCATATGGATGGGCCCCAGACCTAAAGCACAGGAAGGGTCAGTGCTCCCTGCTCCATGACCATCCTGGAGCAGGACTCTCATCCTCCTTCCCCTGGTCTGGGAATTCTTTACAAGAATGGGGCTGCCCATGGCAGGAGCAGACAGGGTAGCATCATCCCAGGGCAGGCTGGAGTTGCGTGAGCATCGCAGGATTCTCCAGCAGGACACCTTAAACCAGTTGATTTCCCCATTGTACCCCTCCAAGCCCAGAGGTTTCCCAAGCCCATGCTGTAACACCTGCCTCACCTTGTCCCATCCGGGCTCCCACCAGGGCCTGCTTTGCCGTCCCATAGCCCAGCTGCCGGCACACCACGCTGGCTGCAGCCAGGTCCCACTGCTTGTCACACACGGTGCCCCACTGCCCGTGGCGCAGCACCTCCACCCGGCCCTCGCCAGCGTGGGTGCCCGCTCGCAGCCGCACCGGGAGCACCTGGGCACAGAGAGCAGCCAGTCAGCAACCCCAGGGCACAGCTAGCCCCCCCCTCAAGTGCAAACAGGGTGGCTGAATGCTGCTCAGCCCTGGGACTCTGAGGGTGTGGAACTCTGCAAGGGCTCACCTTTCCTGGAGTGGTCTTGTTCTTGCCCTTGCCCGTGCCCTTCTGGAAGGCAGGGCCAGGGAGGCAGCTGACGATGGCGTGCATGCCGTGGGGGCAGGCGTGCTGGCGAGGGGCTGGTGGGGCCATCTGCACAGGGCAGCGGGCCAGGTGGGGCTCTGAGCCCTGACACCGCACCCTGTGCACCCAGAAGCTGTTCTTCTGGCTGAGGGTCTTCAGGCTGCCAAGGGAGAGGAGCAGGGCCAGGGTCAGCTCAGGTGCCAGAGACACTCTCCCACCCAATGCTCATGCTGGGTGCCCATTCAAGGTGCCCTGCCCATCATGCACAGTGCTGAGCCCTACCTGGAGTTGGGGTCCTTCAGCTTCTTGTTCCAGAGCTTTCTGTGGGTGTACAGAGCCAGGAGATGAGGGAGCATGCTGACACTGCCCAACTCTGAACCCCCTGCCCCAACATTTCTGGCCTCCCTGGCAGGAGATGGAGACCCCAGGGTACTTCATATTCTCTCCCCACTGGCAATTACTGTGCCAAGCTCGTCTGTACCATGAGTCCCAGCGGGACTGTGCGACTCCTGGCACCCGTAGGGGCTCATTATAGGCTGTATTTATAGTTCCAGGCTGAGACAGGGTGGGAGGGACCAAGGGACACTTGTCTTTCCTCTCCTTTGTCCCACACTTTCCCAGCCATGATGGTGACCATTCCCAAAGACTTCTGGATGCTGCTGAGCCCAGCTCTGACCCTTGTGAAAGGCCCAAGAAGGGGATCCAGGCATGGCCAGGCCATACCAGCACCTCCCACACGCACCCATGAGTGCAGCCCTTCTCTGACCACTCCTCTATCTCTTGTCCCCGGTGTGCCCAGCCTGTCCCTGTGCCCAGGAGCAGCGTGTGTCTCCCACATCCCTACCGGTAGAAGCTGGTGTTGACGTGCTTCTCGCGAGGGAAGCCCAGCATCCCGCACACCACACGGCTGTTGTTCCTGGTCCAGTTGGCATCACACACCTGCCTCCAGCGCCCGTTGTGCTTCACCTCCACAGCACCCTCCATCACTGGCATGCTCAGCTTGGCCCGTGCCAGGATGGGCTTGAGCCGCACCTCCTCCAGGGTTAGTCCCAGCACCTGCCACAGTGGGCATGGCGTGGGCCTGGGGCTCCAGTATCGAGGGCAGAGCACTCAGAAAAGGGCAGGGCAAGGGTTGGTGGGACCTGCTGCAGTCGCCCTGGTGTACCCTGCTGGTCACAGGCACACGCCACAGGCCCCCACTCACCTCTCCCAGGTGACCAGCAGCAGTAGCCTGTGGGGAGTTGCCAGGCAGGCGCTGTCCCGAGCACACCACACCAGCATCCTCGCCATGGTGGCAGTCACTGATGCCCCAGCCATTGTGGGCACACTCTGCCAGGGAGCCTTCGCTGCCCCCACATCGCACGTTGTCCAGCCAGATGGGGCCTGGGGACACAGCATCCCAGCCCCATGCAGCGTGTCCCGCCAGCTCTCTGCACCCACGGCCCCGTGGGGAGGCTCCCACAGCCAGCGGGAAGCACGCTGCCCTCGTCGGGACCCCCTGCCCCCATTCCCCACCTGCCCCGTACCTTCCCCTTGGCCGTAGGTGGCACTGTGGGTCCAGGTGATGGCTGCCGTGTAACCCAGCTGCCGGCAGGCCACCGTGGCCGCATGGAAGTCGAAGCCATCGTCGCACACGGTGCCCCAGCGGCCCTGGTACAGCACCTCCAGCCGGCCCTCTCCAGCTGGGCCCCGGGGTCCCCCCAGCCGCAGCTGCACCGGGGCCGGCTCCTGCCTGCTGGGGGCCACCCAGCACAGCACCAGCACCAGCACCAGCACCAGCAGGACGTGACTTGAGCCAGCTGGCATCACCATCATCGTTCTGTGTGTGGGATGCCTGGGGACAGACCAACAGTGAGTCCTTGGGGACCATGGCAGAGTGGGGGTGCAGCTGCAGTCCCTCTGTGCCCCAGGAGCTGGTCATGCCTTCTTGCACGGTCGTGACATCCCTGTCCCTGTGCTGTGGGGGATGCATGGGCTGGTCCCTGCCACACTCACAGCATACCCAAGCCCTACCCCATTCACCAGGTCAGCCAGCTCTGACACAGCCCTCTCGGGCACTGACAGCCACGGGCAGACCCACAAACATTGCCCTGTGCTCTTGTTGCTTCCTGTCTGCCCCATGTTTTGGGACATGGGTGAGGGCCCCACAGTGCTCCCTTTCATCCTCCACCTGGATTCTCTACTGAACACCAGGATTCCTCCCTACCTTGCACACAGCCCGGTCCCCGTTGCCTCACCTCTTCCCCTGCATCCTCATTCAGAGCACTGGTGGGATTGCTGACCCCCCCTCCAGGTACCCAGACCGACCCTCTCGGGGCCACCTCTGGCACTCACCCTGGCAAGGGATGGTGGTGCCGGGCCGGCAGCGGTGCGGGGCAGGCGGTGGCGAGGGACACGGTGGTGGCGAGGGACACGGCGGTGGCGCTGGCAGCAGTGGATCCCGCAGCTCCTGCCTCCCGCTGGGCACCGCCTGCAGCCGCTTTTATGGTGCGGCGGGGTGGGCCGACCCGAGGGGGCCCCCCGCCCCCCCGCCCTGGTCTGGAGCCCAGCCCTGCTCCCTGCCCACCCCCGGCCCTACTCTGCCTCACCGCACACGGGGGCAAACCCGTTCCTGTCCCAAAGCCCGTCCTGTCCCCAGCCGGGAGGATCTGAGCTGTCCCGGACAGTCCCTGCCCGCCGTGAGGCTGCACCTCCCCCGCGTCCAGATTCCCTCGGTCAGGGATGCTCCCCTCGCGGGGCTGAACCGCAGCCAGGCACAGCGCGGACTTTCCTGGGATGACGAACGGCTGTGCCGGGGACATTCCCGGCAGCTTCCCACCAACGCACTGGTTCGAGTGGTTGCACGGGCACAGGAGGTGCTGCAGTGGGGCCGGGACTTGGGGACACAGGGACCACGGCAGGGTATGGGATGGTACCGAGAGCCGGAGCGCAGCTCTCCCAGGGCTTGGGGCATCACCTGTGCCATCCATGAAGTTGGCTGGCTGTGAGAGTCCTGAGGTTCAGCCCCGCTCCGTGGGACGTGGGGACCGGTGATGCTCCCCCTCCCCCGCGCCCGACTTGCCCCGGGAGCAACCTCCGGCTTGGGGTGCCGCCAGTCCCCGGGGCACCCCGCTGCCCACACGCCCGCCGTGGGATGGGGATAAACAGGAAACCCAGTGCCCCGGCCGTGCCCAGGGACCGGCCAGGAATGTGCCGGTGGCCACCGGACTGTTTGTTTGGAGTCAAAGCAGCCGGATCCTGCCGGGAGGAGCCAGGATCAACACGGCCGGGAATAGTCCGTGAGGTCATCGCCACGTCTCGCAAGGAGCCCCAGCACCTCTGGGTGTGCAGGGATGCACGACTCTGTGTCCCCCTCGCAGGGCACTCTCATCCCAGCCCTGTGCCTCGGCCGGGATCGGGGCAATGCCCTGAAGCTGCGATGCGAATCGCTGGCCAGCCCCAGAATGGAGGCCACGGAAAGCCCTGGGGAAGTGCAGGGTTGGGGCCAGCAGTGGAGCCCGTGACTCATTCGTCTCGACGTTTTGGAGATCAATTGCTTAAGTGTGAAGCCAGGAGCCTCCCCCGAGCTCCTCCCCCGGCAGATGCTGGCAGGGATGCGGGCAGGCGGGCGCTGGGTCCCGCTCCCAGCTCTGCCGCTGCTCCGGGGACAGCAAGAACAGAGAGGTGGGGGGCTGGTGGGCTCTGCCCCTCTGGGACCTGCCAGCTCTTTCCGCAGCGCTACCTGCACTGTGTCCTGCCGCTCGTGTAACCGCGCCGGGCTGCAGGTGTCCCCCTTTGCCCTGAGGTGTCAGCCAATGCCCCTCGTCTCCCTGGGGGCTCACAGGGTGCCAGCACCTGCAATCCCGGGCAGCCGGCAGCGGCAGCAGCTAAAAATACACGGCCGGCAGCAGGGCAGCCCCTGCGCGGGAAGCTGTGGGCGGCGGGCGGGCGTGCGGGGCTATTCTCAGCGGGCTGCGGGACTATTCCTGGCCGGTCAATATTGATTCAGCCAGCTCAGGTGCAGCAGCTCACCCTGGCAGCACCGTATTTAGGGCCCGGCAGGAGGCGAGGCGGGCGGCTGAATCGGGAGCATTGTCTGGCGGAGGAAGAGGGCAGGGAGAGGATGTGAGCTCTGTAATCTGCAGCCAGCGGCTCCCGGCTGCAGCCCGGGCGAGGGGCACACCCGGGCCTGCTGCGGCTGAGGAGCGGCCAGCACGGAACATCTGCCCTGGGGACGCGGGGACGGGGCCAGGACACGTGCAGCGGCTTCCGCCGGGAATAGGAGCATGTGTGAGGCACGAGGGGCAGCTGCAGCCCCGGCTCCTGCGGTTTCTGAGCCGCTGGGCACGTGTCTGCTGTACACACAGCCACCAACAGCCGCGGACTGGGGACAGCTGCGGACTCCAGGCACCAAAGCAGCATCCAGGCAGCTCCCTGCTTGTTCTAAGGACTTAGGATGGTCTGGACCTGCCCGGAGCTGGGGAACTCAATACAAACAGTCCTGCACGTACCTGAGTCTGCATCAATGAGCAGAGGAGAGGGTGAGGGGCTGTTTGTCCTTGTTCACTACTCTGAAATGTGCCTGTGCTCTCTGGCAGCTCCCCAAGGCTGCATTACCAGCAAGTGTGGATAGTGCAGTAGGAGCTGCATGAGTTGCTCAAAAAACACATTGAGAGTGCTCATGACAGAGCCCGGGCCAGAGTTTATTTCCATGGGCACAGGCAGGGGCTGAGTGAGGCTTGCTATGGTCATGCAGGGTCCAGGAGCTACTGGGGCAAGGCTGGGTTGTGTCAGGCTAGGAGCAGCCATCTGCTCAAAGTGACAGTAGCAGCTGGGAGCACAGGGGACCCTGCCAGCCTACATCCAGCTCTCAGGAGATGCTGCTGCCCTGAGGTGCTGGGGAAGCAAGTCGGGGATGGGCAGGGCTCTGCATGGCACCAGCAGGGCATGCTGCTGTCACAACCCTGTGTTGGTGAAGTCAGTTTCACCAATTTCATCAGAGGTGTCTGAAATCCTTGATAGCCACCTGGGCAGCATTGCGTCCTGCTGCTCCCATCACTCCTCCTCCTGCAAGAAAGGAGAAATGGGGAATGCTGCTGCACCTCTTCCACATGGCACTTTCTTCCTTCTGCAGGCCTCCATGAGGGTCCTGCTGCCAGCTCTGCTCACCAGGGTGGGCTCCACTTCCACACAGGTACAGGCCAGGAATTGGGGACCGGTAGCCAGAGTAGGATGGTACTGGCCGGGCAAAGTACAGCTGGTCCAGAGACATCCCTCCATGGAAGATGTTCTGCCAACAGAGCTCTGTGTGAGCTAGCTGTGCCTGGCCCAAGCCCGTGTGCCCACCAGCACTGGCACTAGAGCGATGCTCAGAGCTGACACTCATGGTACCCACTCCACCGGGCAGCCCAAAGATCCTCTCCAGGTCTGGTGGCGTCAGGATGTCCCTGCCAATGACAGATGCCTTGAACCCTGGGGCATAGTCTTCGATGCAGTCAAACACTGGAGAAAGATGAAGGGACTCCTGCTGGGCAGCCCGGGGGATGTGGCAGCAAACTCCTGTGCAGCCCAGGGCAGCTCTGCCCATGGGCGTTACTGGCTCTGTGTGTGCATCACGTACCTGTGTCTGCGTACGCATTTCTGGCCTGCTTGTCCCAGCACCGCCCGCCCGCCAGCACGGACGGGGTGTACTGTGTGAACAGGGACACGACGTGGCAGCCTGGCGGGGCCAGCCCTGGGTCCAGCACTGAGGGAATGCAGAGCTCGATCATGGGCCTGGGGGAGCAGTACACCAGCTGGGCAGGCAGAGGGGCACCCAGCCACTCCACACCTCCTCCCCCAGCATCCACAGCCATGGCTGTCCTGGCCCTTCCCCAGTGCAAGGTGTGCCAGCACAGGCTCCTACCTGCTGGAGGGGTGCCCCTGGGCAGCCTCAGTGAATGCCTGGTGCAGGAGCTGGGTGCCCTCACAGTTGAGGTGTATGGAGCACTGGTGGTGGGGCAGGGGCTGGCCATCGTGGGGATTGGGGGCAGCCAGGAAGCTGGGCAGCCGATCCACCGCCACTGGGCATGGGATGGGGAGAGGAAGTGGGGTGCAGCCTCTTGCTGAGCCTGGCACCAGTGTTCCTCCAGCAGGGATGGCAGCTGAAGCGTCCCTGCTGGTACCTACCATTGATCTTGGTGACAGGGGAGCGTGTGTCAAGCTGCCGGATCCGCTGGACAAAATCCTTGGGCAGCTGCTCCTAGGGTGGGATACACCATGCAGAGGCTGGCTGTGAGAGGCAGTGGGAATGGGCTATTCCAACAGGCCAAGCCCCTGCCAGCCCCACGCACTCCATACCTGAGGAATGAGTTCCAGAAAGGTGATTTGGGGGGAGGCATTGGACAGCACCAGTTTGCTCCTCACCTCTGTCCCATCCTGCAGCACGACACCCCGCGCCTCCCCGGCCCTGCCCAGCAGCACGTGGCACACTGCCTGGGCACGGGTAGGGGACAGGACTTTACCAAGAGCATCCCTGCTGCCTGAGGGGATGGCCAAGCAGCTCCCCTCTCCCAGACAGCCCGTACCTTGTCAGCAAAGATGTGGGCTCCCCGGGCAGCGGCTGCCTGGGCGATGGCGTGGGACAGGGCTCCCATCCCGCCTGCCACGTAGCCCCAGGCCCCACGCCGTCCCTCCAGCTCACCCATGACATGGTGCAACAGCACATACCTGAGGTAGTAGGACCTTGGATTAGCTGCTGGCTGAGGGTATGGATCTGTCCCCTGCACGGGTAGTGAGGATGGTGCCACAGCCCCCACAGTCCCCCCATGGGACCATGCCACCTCATGGGATGTAAACTCAGTTACAGGGAGGATGCACCAGCCAGGACTCAGCCCAGCCTGGGGACAGAGGTGCCCAAACAGTGAAGGGATAGGTGGGGGCCACTCAGGAGAGCCACTGGCAGGGCTGGGGGCAGCCCCTTGCCCAGCACCAAGCCCTGAGGCACCATGGCAAAGTAGAACAGGCAGTGGGAGGCAGAGGCAGGGGACAGGGCACGGGGTACTGGTGCAGCAGAGCCAAGCACAGAGCACGGCAAGGGGGGACAGTGCAGGCATGAGCCCCGAGGGGAAGGATCCCTCACCCACTGCCAGGGGTGTGTGGGCTGGCCATGGCTCCAATCACAGCATCAGTAGCCAGAGTTGCCTTCAGGGGTTCTGACTCAAACCACTGATCCAGGATCTGGCCCAGGAGAAAGAGAGCATGCCAGGCTTGGGGTGGGGAGCTGCTGCAGCATCCTGGCAGGCAGGAGAGGGCAGAGGGTGTTTCCACACCAGCACTGCCAGCACGCACCTTGGAGATGGGAGCTGTGAGCACCTCGTAATAGTGGGGCAGCTGCCGTCCCAGTGCCAGCCCTGGGGGTGGAGAGGTGGTGTGAGACCTGCACGGCTGTGCCAGGGCTGGATACTGGTGCCCAGCTGGCTTTGGAGGTCACTCAGCGGGACCAAGGTGAGCAAGCCTACCAGAGCCTGCCAGCCCACACTGGGCTCCTGAGGAGGCTCTGCACTGCCCATCCCAGATGCTGGCAAACATCCCTTGCTGCTGGGGTTCCCTGGCATCCCAGATGTACCTGCCTGCAGCAAGGGCTTCAGGGTTTGCAGGTTCCTGAGCTGCTGGAGCAGGGAGCCCTTTCCCAGGGCAGCTGTATCCACTGGAGGGGCATCCAGCAGTGGGTCAAGGGCCAACACCATGCGCCCCATGAACGCCTCATACTCAGGATAGGCCTGGAAGGGGACAGAGGGTGGACAGCAAGGGCTGCACCATGGTGGGTGCAATGGATACCCCACCCAGGAGCATCCCTGCCACTCCAGGGGCAGGGCAGCCCCTCATGGGTTTTGCTGTGCCAGGTGCACGCCCCTGGTGGTACCTGGGCATCCTTCTGGGAGAACTGAGCAATCTGCTGCTGAGTCTGGGCCATGTCATGTCCCAGCAGAAGGGAGCGAGGACGGCTCCTGTCCTCCAGCACTGGGGTGAAGGAGTAGGGGTCCCGTGGGAGCACCCTCAGACCGTGCCGCTGCAAGACAGGGATGTCCCCACTGCAGGAGCCACCCTGCAGGGACAGCCTGGCAGCAGGGTCCCCCTTGCTTGCACACTGGGAGTTGCCAGCAGCCCAGCAAAGGGTGGGTGCCAGTACCTGCAGCTCCAGATCAGCGTAGATTTGTGGTCGCAGCAGGCTGAGCAGATACGATGCCCGGGAGAACTTGAACCCTGGAACATGTGGGGTGGTGGGGAATGTCCACCAGCAGGGCTGGCCAGGGGGACAAGGGGCACGCAGGGGTACCTGGCACGATCTCCTCAGTGACGGCGGCGCCGCCCAGCACGTGGCGCCTCTCCAGCACAGCCGTGCGCAGCCCTGCCCGCTGCAGGTAGGCAGCCTGTGGGGAGCACGGGGCACACTGCCATCCCTCCAGCCGGGATTGCCAACGGGAGGCCCCTCCTGCACATAGTGCCCCCCTCACTAGGGAAGGCCTGTGGGGCCCCAGCCCCATGGACACCACCACCAAAGCCCTCCCTTGCTCACAGTGCAGACCCTTCCCAGTCTTTGCTGTCCCCTGGGGATGGAGGAGAGGCAGCACGCCACTCTAGGTACTCACTGCCACCAGCCCGTTGTGTCCTGCAAGAAGAGAGGGAGATGAGCAGAGCCCAGTGCTGGTGATGGGCCCGCAGCACAGGGCACCCTGCCGTGCCTGGGGCATGGGGCTGTCACAGCCACCCCAATAACAGGCTCTAGACACAGGGATACAGGTGACAAGGAGAATCCTCCCCCAGCCCTACACCCCTGGCCCTAATGGTGCAGCAGAGGGGGGCAGAAGCACTCAAGGCAGATGTTCCTACAGTGCTCTCATGCTGGGGGGCTGCAATTTGTGCCACTCCCCTGTGTGGACCCAAGCATGAGGAGCAGTCTGGGGGTTTGCAATGCGTCCAGCACGACTGCGGTCCCCACCGAGCTGCTCCTTTGCTATCTGCCCTGGGGAAGGTGGCAGATGTGGGTCCCCGCCCGCAGCCCGGCTCTCGCTCCCTGGCTCTGTTACCTGCCCCGATCACCACCGCGTCGTATTCCTGCTGCAGCTGGGCCGCAGCCCCGGCATGGGCCAGACGCGCTGCTGGCGGCCGCAGGGACAGACGCCAGCCCTGCGGCCAGCGGGACGGGCAGCGCGGACCGAGCGCTCCCCGGAGCCCGCAGCGCCCGGCCATGGCCGCTCTGTCCGGCTTTGCTCGGTCCGCCTGGACTTTGCTTCCACGGCGGAACTTTTCCCAGGGCTTCCGGGCGGGGAGGGACGGGGGGCCAGGGCGGGGAACGCCTTGAGGAGGCGGGGAGGCTGCTCAGGACAGGGGCGCCCGCCGCTGCTGCTGCCCCGGCGAGGCGCGGACCCGGCACAGCTCAGCTGCGGGCTTGCAGCGGGGCCGGAGACGAGCCCAGGGCTGAGAAGGGGCCACATCCTGCCTGGGGCTCCGCAGGTGCCAGGATCTCCCCAGGCTGGCTCCAGGACGGTGCTGAGCAGGCAGTTAGGGGCCTGAGAGCCCCCTGCCCCAGCTCCTGTGGTGCTCCAGGGATGAGCCAGAGGCACATGGCTGGGATGATGGGCCAAGCATGGCAGGACAGAAGGAGTTTGGCCCCCCCACAGCCCTGAAAGCAGCAGAAGGGGCAGTTTGGGAATGAGCATGGCTTTGAATCCAGAACTGTTGCTCAGCAGGGCAAATTCCAGCTCAGCAGGATGGGGCAAAGGCCCTGTCATGGTCCAGTGCTGCCTGAATTGCTGTCCCCAGCTCCAGCGAGTGGCATGGGAGCAACAAGGGACAGTGGCTACGTGAGTCCCTTGGGGCTGGCCCCATTCCCAGCTGTACTTGAGGTTTGGAGTGCACTGAGCCCAGACGTGCCTGGGAAACACATAAGCTGCCTCGGGATTTACTCGCTGTTCCCAGCTAAGCTCAGAGCTGTGGCTAACTGGTGCCTGGGTGCGGGGAAGGTGGTGCAGGATGGGCTGCATCTCCCCAGAGCCTGCCTAACCTCTGAGGGCCCTGCACCCCACACACATTTGGGGGTAAGGGGGAAGGGGAATGCACCCTAGACCATTGCTTCACTCAGGTTTGGCTACATTATCTTGATCTCTGGCCAAAGCCTGGCAGCAATGCCAAGCTAACATTTTAAATCCTGCTCTGGAAATGTACTTTTCAGCAAGACATTGATTTGCCAGCAACCTCTCGGCCCCACTCTCTGTCCCCAGAGGCTGCTGGGTGGCAGTGAAAAGCATGGGGAGCAGGAAAAGGGACAGTGCCAGCTCTGGCCAGGCTAAAGGATGGGAAGCTTGCCTGTCCCTGCCTACAGGCACAATCCACAGCATGGCACACAGACGCTGAGAAAGCAACCCAGGCTCTGGGAGCACCCACACACCCACTTTAATCCCGGCCCCAAGGCGGCTGGAGGCAGCTCAGAGCAGAGGGATGCGGGACGGCTCCCAAAGGCGCCGGGCCAAGTCGTAGGCCTGCTGCACCACCAGCTCGGAGGGGATGATGCCCAGGTGCAAGGTCAGCAGCTCATAGCACTTCACTACCTCTGCCTGGTGGTTCTTGCTGTAATAACGCAGCAACTTCCTGCAGAGGAGAAGACAGAGGCTTGGCAGGTACAGTGCACACAGGCAACCCCTTCCAACGACCTTCCCTCTGTAAAGCACTTTGCAAGGACACAGCCCCATGGACTCTGCCACCAAAGCCCACCAAAACCATGGCACCAGGCTGGGAGATGGGCTGGTGCAACTCCGCTGGCATCCTGGCATCACCCCCAGCGATCTGTGTGCCATCACAGCTTTGAGCCCTGGTGCCAAACCACAGGACTGGCAACTGCTCACCTGTAGTAGTCCCCTGCAAGCATCCCAATGGGAGCAGAATCATCAGACAGGACTGGTACCTCCATCACCTCCAGCTTATAGCCCTGGGGAGAAATGACAGCAGAGGGCAGGAGCTGGGATGGGACCACTGAGCAGTCAGAGCTGGCTAGGCTTGCAGCCCTGCTCCCTGCCCCAGAGAAAGAGGGGCTCAGCCCCTTCCTGGCCCCACATACCATCTCATTCTCAAACCAGAGGAAGTAGGAGCAGCAGTAGTCACCATCCTGCAGCATCAGTGTTGTATAGCCCTTCTGCAGGTATCGCCGGGCCAGTGTGATCAGGGACCACACCTGGGGGACAAGGGACACCTGAAGCCTGAGCAGAAACCCCTCCAATTTCCACCCTCTTCTGTGGTTCCCATCCCACACCTACCCGATGAGCAGTACCTTTTTCTTGATGAAGGTGGCCAGGGGACCCTTGCCCAGCTCTGAGCTGGACTTCTCTGTCACACTGAGTGAAGGTGCCATCATTTGTCCAGCTGTGCGGTCCACATAGATGAAGTGCACCAGGCCAGGGAAGTCCTCCAGGTACGTGGGATGGGTTAAGGGTGTCCAACAACTTTGGTGCCCTTCTAGGACAGCCCCTGAGCCTCGGGAAACCACCTTTGCCCACTACATTCCTCCCCTTAATCCTGGTGCTGGGAGACAGGGTCCCACTCCCACATCTGCTACCCCCTCAGGGACACCCCGGTGGCAGGCTGGCTCCCCAGCTGCAGGGATGGGTATGACACCATGGTGATATTGCGCCTGCTCTTCACCAGCAGGAAGTCCCGCCAGTCCAGCAGCTTCTCCCTGCCAAGAAGAGGCACGGTGAGAGGCCAGGACCCACAAGCCCCAGCAGAGCTGGGTGTGGGGCAGCCCCCTGGCGATGCTGACCGTCCCCCTGCACTCACCTCATCAGTTTCTGAGCACGGTCCCGCAGCCCTTGGGACAGGCTGTGGCCAGCAGAGGTCAGGAAGAGCTGGCGGTACACGGAGCAGAGCTGCCGCTTCACGTTGGCCACTGACTGCAGCAGCCTGAGCCAGGGGACACAGACAGAGCCGAGCTTGCACACTGGGTCCCCAGCACTGCAGGGACAGCTGTGCTCGTCCCCAGGATGGGACAGGTCCCTGCCTGTCCCAGAGACTTTCCCTGGCTTCCTCCTACTCACTCTAGGGAGCTCCCAGGCTCACTCCGTGAAAATATCTTGTTCTTAAAGTCCAACCAGGTGTTCTGCAACTAGAAAGAGACAGGACGGTGTCAGGCTGTGGAGAAAAAATGACAGGGTCCTCATGTCCCCACGCCCACCTGGATGTCCTGTCCACTCAGCTTCTTCACAAATTTGTCCATGCGCTGCCGCAGCTCAGCAAGGAACGGGTAGGAGCGTGCGACTCCCACCTCTGGTCCCTCTTCCAGCTTCTTCTCCAGCACCAAGAAACCATCCAGCAGTTGGTACAAGGTGATGGCCACCTGGGTCATGGGACCCTGCCAGGGAAAGGAGAGGTGGGGGTCAGGCAGAACCCAGTCCTACCCAGCTCCCCTCACCTCAGAGGCAGCTCACCTTGGTCAGCAGCACAAGGGAGATGCCTGGCCAGAGCGGGAGGCAGTGCATGGTGTGTGGCAGCAAGGGGCAGTAACCTTCCCGCAGGCTGGCATCCAGAAAGATCCTTCTGGGGTTTGAAGCTTCAGGGACCAGAGGCCCCAAGGTCTGCAGCAAGTCCTCTGCCATCTGGGAAGACAGGGGAGATACTCAGTCCCTGTGGGAATGAGGCAGCTCACACAGAGAATGCTCTGTAGGGATGCAGCATTGCCTTGAAAGCTGCAACCAGGCAAGACAGAACCAAAAGAGCTGGAAGGGCCATGTAGCAAAAGATCAGTAGTGAGGAAAGTGCCCAGTGCTCCCCAAAGGAGCAGCAGAGAAGAAGAAGGCTGTTGCACAAAGGTTGCAAATGCCTTAAACCAGGGCCAGTGTTGTTTGCAGTGTGTGAGGTGTTGCAGCATCCATCAGGGAAGCAGCCCAGGAAGCCCAGTGGCAGCAGAGGGAGACACTGGACTGCTCTGAGGCAGCCCTGCTCCCTCTCTGCTGGCAGCTCACTGTAAGCAATGCCTCAGAGAACAGAACTGTCACAGAATGCACAACATGGGGGACACAGGGCACCCACAGCTGCAGCACAGCAAGAGAGAGTGATAAGGACCAGAATCTGCAAAAGGCACCGGGACAGGCTGGTGAGGTGTGGAACTGGGAGGTGTTGCAGGACTCTGCGCTCACCTGGACGTCTGCAGCATCCACCTCCCCGATGCTCAGCATCTCAGCACCCTCTGACCAGCTCTCGCTGCCTGCAGAGAACATGGCAGGGCACCCTTCCAGCCCCCACACCAGAGCCCTGGAACTCTGCAGGGCTGGGGGTGTGGGGCACGGCTGCTGCCCAGCTGGGCACTCACCTGTACTGTGCCCGCCTGGCGAGGGCTCAGGTGTGTAGTACACCTCAGGCACAGAGAGATCATCTGTGTCCTGCCAGCAATAACAAATGGGTCAGCATACGGGGATACAGGCAGCCCTCCCAGCAATCCCACCCTGAACTCCTGATCTGAAGGACTCACTTGGTCATCTGAGTCCTTCTCTGCAGCTCCATGGGAGCCAGGGCCAGTCACAGGGATGCTCTCACTTCTCTTGGGTCCCTGAGGGAGAACATTCCTTGCTGTGGGCTTTCAAAAAGAGAGAAAACCCCCCTAAGCCCCAGCTGTCAAGGCATCACCCCATGATGGGAGCACCCTGACTTGCTGCACCCCCAGGCCTGCTTTGAAGCACCTGTGGGCCAAGCTCCTCCTCAGCACTCTGGCTGGGGTACAGGTCCTGAACCAGGAGGATGAGGACGAGCAGGTCGGCAGGGCGGATGGAGCTGGCGTTGCGGCTGCAGGACAGAGAAGGGCAGGGTCAGCTGGGAGGACACATGGCTGCCCTGGGAAGGGAGGGTGGTGGGACCGGGCACACCTGGAGTAGAAGGCCAGCAGCTTGGTGTGTACCAGGAGGAAGGCATGGCCTACTTCATCCCCGCCACGCTCGGGGCTGGTGTTGATGTGCTGCACCACTTGTCGCTCCAGGAACTCGATGCACTGCTCACACAGCTGAGGATGGATCAGCCGCTCCACGGCCTGGGGTGCAGGAGGAGGGGAGGCTGCTGAGCTTCCTCAGGCCCAGCCTTGCAGTCCTAGGGGCAGGTCTGAGCTTCCATTGCTCCAGGGAGCTGCCCTAAAGTCCCCAGCCTACTGCCTTTTCCCACATCCTGGGACTCCATGCAGCTTCCCACCCCTGGAACACCCCAAAAGCGAGGGA